CGTTGTTTACCCAGTCAACATTCAAGAGCCAGTTGTTCAGTTTCCATGAAGCTGTGCGGTTCTGGGTCGGTTTCTGAATTCTGAGTTCTAAGTTGATTGCACTATGGTCTCAGAGGCTGTTTGTTATGATTTCAGTTGTTTTGCATTTGTTGAGCAGTGCTTTACTTCCAATTATGTGGTCAATTTTAGAGTAGGTGTGATGTGGTGCTGAGAAGAATGTGTATTCTGTGGATTTGGGGTGGAGAGTTCTGTAAATGTCCACCAGGTTTGCTTGCTCCAGGTCTGAGTTCAAGCCCTGGGTATCCTTGTTGATTTTCTGTCTGGTTGATCTGTCTAGTATTGACAGTGGAGTGTTAAAGTCTCCCACTATTATTGTGTGGGAGTCTAAGTCCTTCTGTAAGTCATTAAGAACTTGCCTTATGTATCTGGGTGCTCCTGCGTTGGGTCCATATATGTTTAGGATCGTTAGCTCTTCTTGTTGTATCGATCCTTTTACCATTATGTAATGGCCTTCTTTGTCTCTTTTGATCTTTGTTGCTTTAAAGTCTATTTTATCGGAGATGAGAATTGCAACTCCTGCTTTTTTTTTGCTTTTCATTAGCTTGGTAAATCTTCCTCCATCCCTTTATTTTGAGACTTTGTGTATCCTTCCATGTGAGATGGGTTTCCTGGATACAGCACACTGATGGGTTTTGGATTTTTATCCAATTTGCCAGTCTGTGTCTTTTGATTGGTGCATTTAGTCCATTTACATTTAGGGTTAATATTGTTATGTGTGAATTTGATACTGCCATTTTGATTCTAAGTGGCTGTTTTGCCTGTTAGTTGTTGTAGATTCTTCATTATGTTGAAGCTCTTTAGCATTCAGTGTGATTTTGGAATGGCTGGTACTGATTGATCCTTTCTATGTGTAGTGCCTCTTTTAGGAGCTCTTGTAAAGCAGGCCTGGTGGTGACAAAATCTCTGAGTACTTGCTTGTTCGCAAAGGATTTTATTCTTCCTTCACTTCTGAAGCTCAGTTTGGCTGGATATGAAATTCTGGGTTGAAAGTTCTTTTCTTTAAGAATGTTGAATATTGGCCCCCACTCTCTTCTGGCTTGTAGTGTTTCTGCTGAGAGATCTGCTGTGAGTCTGATGGGCTTCCCTTTGTGGGTGACCCGACCTTTCTCTCTGGCTGCCCTTAGTATTCTCTCCTTTATTTCAACCCTGTTGAATCTGACGATTATGTGCCTTGGGGTTGCTCTTCTTGCGGAATATCTTTGTGGTGTTCTCTGTATTTCCTGCAATTGAGTGTTGGCTTGTCTTGCTAGGTGGGGGAAATTTTCCTGGATGATGTCCTGAAGAGTATTTTCCAGCTGGGATTCATTCTCTTCGTCCCCTTCTGGTACACCTATCAAACGTAGGTTAGGTCTTTTCACATAGTCCCACATTTCTTGGAGACTTTGTTCATTCCTTTTTGCGCTTTTTTCTCTGATCTTGGTTTCTCGTTTTATTTCATTGAGTTGGTCTTTGACTTCTGATATTCTTTCTTCTGCTTGGTCAATTCGGCTATTGAAACTTGTGTTTGCTTGGCGAAGTTCTCGTATTGTGTTTTTCAGCTCCTTTAATTCATTCATATTCCTCTCTAAGGTATCCATTCTTGTTATCATTTCCTCGAATCTTTTTTCAAATCTTTTTTCAAGGTTCTTAGTTTCTTTGCATTGGTTTAATACATGATCTTTTAGCTCACAAAAGTTTCTCATTATCCATCTTCTGAAGTCTAATTCCGTCATTTCATCACAGTCATTCTCCGTCCAGCTTTGTTCCCTTGCTGGTGAGGAGTCTTGGTCCTTTCTAGGAGGCGATGTGTTCTGGTTTCGGGTGTTTTCCTCTTTTTTGCGCTGGTTTCTTCCCATCTTTGTGGATTTGTCCGCTGGTCGTCTGCGTAGTTGCTGACTTTTCGTTTGGGTCTCTGAGTGGACACCCAGAATGTTGATGATGAAGTATTTCTGTTGCTTGGTTTTCCTTCTACCAGTCTAGCCCCTTCACTGTACGACTGTTGAGGTCCACTCCAGACCCTGCTTGTCTGGGGTACAGCTCTAGTAGCCGTGGCACAGCGAGGGATGCTACCAGTTTCTTTTTCTGCTCTCTTTGTCCCAGGATGATGCCTGCCTAATGACAGTCTTTTGGATATAGAGGGGTCAGGGAGCTGCTTGAGGAGACAGTTTGTACTTTATAGGGGTTTAATTGCTGAGCTGTGCACTCTGTTGTTCATTCAGGGCTGTTAGGCTGCTATGTTTGATGCTGCTGCAACACAGCTCATTAAACAACCCTTTTTTTTTTCTCAAATGCTCTGTGTTGAGGGGTTTGGGCTTTATTTTTGGATGTCCGATCAGGTGTCCTGCCCAGCTCAAAGGCAGACTAGCCACTGTTTGGCTGCCGAGGCTCCGCCCAGCTGTTGTGTGATTCGCGCTGTTCCTGCCGGCTCTGCTGTGGTCTCCGCCACGCCCTACGGCGGAGTCTCTTCGTTGTAGTGTGTTGCCTCAGCAACGGCAGGCTGCGTCATCAGTGGGCGTGTATCTCAGTTGGGGCGGGTTGCCTCGGCAACGGCTGGCTGCCTCAGCAGTGGGCGTGTATATCAGTTGGGGCAGGTTGCCTTTGTAGTGGTGGACGCCCCTCCCCCACAGAGCGTCTCGGACCGTCTGCCCGGGATAGTTTGAAATCGCGGTTTTGTTCGTCCCACTGGGTATCCCAAACGATCTGTCCCTGCAATCCCCTGGGCTGGGCTACTGTGCAAGTCTCCTTCAGTCTCAAGTCCAGCCCTCTCAAGTCTCAGGTTGCCGGTTCAACAAGGCACCCAGACAAGTGCACCCTGTGGGGATTGCTGGGTAGGGCCAGCCGCCGCTGCCCCGGCTGCCGGCTTCGCCAGGCAGACCTACTGCCTGGCGTCCCGTGTCTTTTATACTTGGGAGTTTCCCCGTTCTGTGGGCAACAAAGATCAGTCTGGAAATGCAGCACTGACTCACCGTTTGCGAATTCAACGCGGGCTCCAATCCTGGGTTGTTCTCACAGCGCCATCTTGAGTCCCCTCCTTCAAACAATATTTAAAAATGGTTTCTAAATTTTGGGGGAGTGAATATATGAGAATTTTACATTATATACACATTCATTATTTTTAGCAATAAAATAATCTAGGAATGTAAACATTCCCAAGCATTCTTTTTTTTTTTTTTTTTAAGCAAGAAAATCACCTGGTTCACGTAATCCTAGCACTTTGGAGAATAAGGCAGGATGCTCACCTGAGGTCAGTAGTTTGAAATTAGCCTGGGCCACATGGTGAAACCTCGCCTCTATACTAAAAATACAAAAATTAGCCAGGCATAGTGACACATGTCTGTAATCCCAGATACTCAGGAGGTTGAGGCAGGAGAATCTCTTGAACCCAGGAGGCAGAGGCTGCATAAGCCAAGATCGCACCACTGCACTCCAGATTGGGGTATAGAGTGAAACACTGTCTCAAAAAAAAAAAGAGAAAAGAAAATCACCTAAGAATCTAAGCATTCACAAGCATTCATTTTCAAAATGCTCTATTTTATTGATTGGTCTCTTGCTGGTTAAAACAGCAGCTTGACCATGAAGAGACTTATTAAATATGTTTATTTTGTTAAAAAATTTGCTTGATATAGATTACTTTGTCCATCAAAGATGAACAATTTTGAAAGTTGTTTTTTTTGGTAAAAGAATGTTCCTTTACACTTACTTAAGTTGATAAATCTTTTTTTTTTTAAATTTTTTATTGGATTATAGGTTTTGGGGTACATGAGCAGAGCATGCAAGACAGTTGCGTAGGTACACACATGGCAGTGTGCTTTGCTTTTCTTCTCCCCTTCACCCACATTTGGCATTTCTCCCCAGGCTATCCCTCCCCACCTCCCCCTCCCACTGGCCCTCCCCTTTTCCCCCCAATAGACCCCAGTGTTTAGTACTCCCCTTTCTATGTCCATGTGTTCTCATTTTTCATCACCCACCTATGAGTGAGAATATGTGGTGTTTCATTTTCTGTTCTTGTGTCAGTTTGCTGAGGATGATGTTCTCCAGATTCATCCATGTCCCTACAAATGACACAAATTCATCATTTCTGATTGCTGCATAATATTCCATGGTGTATATGTGCCACATTTTTCCAATCCAGTCTATTATCAATGGGCATTTGGGTTGATTCCAGGTCTTTGCTATTGTAAACAGTGCTGCAGTGAACATTCGTGTACATGTGTCCTTATAGTAGAACGATTTATAGTCTTTTGGATATATACCCAGTAATGGGATTGCTGGGTCAAATGGAATTTCTATTTCTAAGGCCTTGAGGAATCGCCACACTGTCTTCCACAATGGTTGAACTAATTTACACTCCCACCAACAGTGTAAAAGTGTTCCTTTAGTTAACCTGTTATGTTAGAAAGAATTTTCTAGTCACTTCTCATGTCATTACAGAATATTATAAATATCCTACTATTTAATATTTTTGTTTTTATAAACATTATAACATTCCAAAGCAAGTGACTATGATAGATCACAAAGCCTGTCAGTCAACGAATCTGGAATTTCATCAAACTGTCTCTGATGAAATTTATTCCCCCAGGTTACTTCACAGCAGAGTGCCTCGATCAACCCATGTATTACATATGACTCAAGTTATCTTTTTATTTTTAGGCAAGGAAACCATAATTAAAAAATTAAAATCCCAGTGGATTATTATAACTGAAAGTATCTATTATTTGGAGATCACAGTACTAAAGTGGCGGTTCTCAAAGTAGTGTATATTTAGTGTATATAAGAATAATCAAGAAAGAATATTAAAATGCAGATTTCTAGGGTCCATCCAAAGAGATTTTAATAGGTCTCAAGTATAACTTGAAAATCTGTAATTTTATCAATCATATTAGATATTTCAAATGCAGCTCCTTAGTAGAAAACCCTTTGAGAAACCCAAGCTAGAGTAATTTTTAAAAAATATTTTTTATGGAGAGGTGAACGCCGAGCCCGAGAGCCCGCCGCCTGTGCCAGGATGGAGTTCGTCAAGTGCCTAGGCCACCCGGAGGAGTTCTACAACCTGGTGCGCCTCCGCATTGGGAGCAAGCGGAAGGTGATGCCCAAGATGGACCAGGACTCGCTCAGCAGCAGCCTGAAAACTCGCTACACGTATCTGAATCAGACGAGTCGCAGTTTCGCAGCTGTTATCCAGGTGCTGGATGGGGAAATGTGCAATGCAGTGTGCATATTTTATCTGGTCCTCCGAGCTCTGGACATGCTGGAAGATGACATGACCATCAGTGTGGAAAAGAAGGTCCCGCTGTTACACAACGTCCACTTCCACTCTTTCCTTTACCAGCCAGACTGGCGGTTCATGGAGAGCAAGGAGAAGGACAGCCAGGTGCTGGAAGACTTCCCAACGATCTCCCTCGAGTTTAGAAATTTGGCTGAGAAATACCAAACGGTGATCGCTGACATTTGCCGGAGAATGGGAACTGGGATGGCAGAGTTTTTGAATAAGCATGTGACCTCTGAACAGGAGTGGGACAAGTACTGCCACTATGTTGCTGGGCTGGGAGGAATTGGCCTTTCCCGTCTCTTCTCGGCCTCAGAGTTCGAAGACCCCTTAGTTGGTGAAGATACAGAACGTGCCAACTCCATGGGCTTGTTTCTGCAGAAGACAAACATCATTTGTGACTATCTGGAAGACCAGCAAGAAGGAAGAGAGTTTTGGCCTCGAGGTTTGGAGCAGGTATGTTAAGAAGCTTGGGGATTTTGCCAAGCCGGAGAATATTGACTTGGCCATGCAGTGCCTGAATGAACTTATAGCCAACGCGCTGCACCACATCCCAGAAGTCATCACCTACCTTTCGAGACTCAGAAACCAGAGCGTGTTTAACTTCTGTGCTATCCCACAGGTGATGGCCATTGCCACTTTGGCTGCCTGTTACAATAACCAGCAGGTGTTCAGAGGGGTAGTGAAGATTCAGAAAGGGCAAGCAGTGACCCTGATGATAGATGCCACCAACATGCCAGCTGTCAAAGCCATCATCTCCACCATCCTGACGCAGAATCTTCCCAACTGTCAGCTGATCTCCCGAAGCCACTACTCCCCCATCTACCTGTCCTTCGTCATGCTCTTGGCTGCCCTGAGCTTGCAGTACCTGACCACACTCTCCCAGGTCACGGAAGACTATGTTTAGACTGGAGAACACTGATCTCAAATCTGTCAGGAAGCTGAAGTTCACCATGAAATGGATTTACTTTTTTTCTTCAAGGATGGATGTTGGCTTCTACTTTCTTTCCTTTTACTTTAATCCCTAAAAGAACTCTGTGTGGCTGGGACCTTTAGGAAACTGAAATGCAGTTGAGAAGAATATAAACACAAAAGGAAAAAGAAAGGGTGGCTCACCGCAGCAACCTGTGCTTGGGGGAGGTGATGACTGTGCTGCTTGTGGCTCATGGCAGAGCATTCTGTGCCACGCGTTAGTTGAAATGGCTGCGTATGGGACTGTCATGAGGTCTTATTTAGTGTGATCCTGGCTAGAAAATTAATTAAAGTAATTTGAAGCAAAAAAAAAATATTCCTTATGGTAGCTTCCTTGGTTTAAGATTGTCGGCACATCAAAGTTCAGTTTGAGATTGCCTAAGTACTCAAGAAATAAAATGCAGCAAACAAGTAATGGCTCATTAATATATTTAATTAGAGAGCTATAATTAGTAGATAAAATTGTCAACATAAATATTACCAGCATGTAACCATCTAATTTGTTCATATTAGTTAATGGATTATATCCTAGATGTCAGATAAGGACCCAATCCTGTAACCTCTTAAGATAAAATTTCCTCAAGTTTCCCCCTTGAAGGAATGCATTTTAGTTAGGCTGCCCCACCACGGAGCAGGCTTCATATTCTATTACGCTCATGTAGCACCACTGGGATGGGAGGTTGAGTGGAGGTTTCATGAGGTGATTGCAAAAGGGGAGAGTGGCAGCACACTCAACTTCAAAGAGTAGAAAAGCTGAGCTGAGCGCTCTGAGATGTTTTGTTTCCTCGGGCCGTGCTCTGTGTCTGTGTGCATTGTGACCTTATGACTCCACCTCTTCTGGCTGCTGCTACAGTGGAGGCCTGGATCCTGGCCCTTCCCTGTAACTTAACATGCCTGTCACCATCAGGCAACCCTCTGAACTCTGGTAACCTGCTCTCCCATTGACAGACAGCCTGTCCTCAGATATCCCAATAATGATGAGTAACAGAGGTGGTTGTAGACTTCTTTACTTCCCATTGCTGAGTCAGGGCTTTCCTGCTTCCTCTTGGGCAGGTCTAGCCTTGCTCTCTTGGCAGGGCACCAACTTTTGCTGATCGTTCTCCAGTTCACCATGTAACTGATGCCAAAGTTGTGGTGTACTCTGCCAGCAGAGCCCTGGGATTACTGCCACCTTCAGAGAGGTTCCTTGCCACCTCCACCACTATGGTTGCTTCTGACTAAACTCAGTCTTCTGCTATGCTAGAGCTCAAGATGGTGCCCTTCTCCTGAGGAGAAACAGGGGTGAGGAGGGAGAAGGCTTGCTCCTAGGTGTTGCCATTGGAGCTTTTCTTGCATTCTCCAAAAAAGTGCTGTCAGATCCCAGGAAAACTTAGAAGAAATGGATAAATTCCTAGATATAGGTAACCTACCAAGGTTGAGCCATGAAGAAATCCAAAACCTGAGTAGACCAAAAAGAAATAACAAGATCGAAGCCATAGTAGAATGTCTCCCAGCGAAGAAAGGCCTTGAACTCTATGGCTTCACTGCTGAATTTTACCAAATATTTAAAGAAGAACTAATATCATTTCTATTCAAACTATTTTGAAAAATGTAGGAGGGAATACCTCTAGACTCATTCTATGAGGCAGTGTTACCCTGATACCAAAACCGGACAAAGAAAAAACACATCAAAAAACAAAAACAAAAACTACAGGCCAATATCTCACGAACATTGATATAAAGACTCTACAAAATACTAGCTCACCTAATTGAACAACATATTAAGAATATCATTCATTATATCAAGTGAGATTTATCCCAGGGATGCAAGGATGTTAAAACATATGCAAATCAATCAATGTGATATATCAACAGAATGAAGGATAAATACCATATAATCATTTCAATTGATGTTGAAAAAGTGTTTGATAAAATCCAGCATCCTTCATGAAAAAGACTCTCATAAAACTGGGTATAAGAGGAATATAACTCAAAAGAGTAAAGACCATACATGTTAGACCCATAGCTGGTATCATACTGAATAAGGAAAAACTGAAAGCTGTTCCTCTAAGATCTGGAAACAGACAAGGATGCTCACTTTCACCACTGTTACTTGACATAGTACTGGAAGTCCTAGCTAGAGGAATCAGACATGAGAAAGAAATAAAGGACATACAAGTTGGAATAAAATAAATCAAATTATCCTTGTTTGTAGGTATTATATTTGGAAAGTCTAACAATTCCACAAGAAAACTATTAGAACTGATGAATAATTTTAGTAAAGTTACAAGATATAAAATCAACATACAAAAATCAGCAACATTTCTATATGCCAACAGTGAGCAATATAAAAAAGAAAGTAGAAAAGTAATACCATTTACAATAGATGCAAATAAAATTAAATATATAGAAATAAAATTAACCAAATAAATGAAAATCTTTATAATGAAAACTATAAAATATTGATAATAAATGTAAGAGGACACAAAAATAGAAAAATGTTGCACATTCATGGTTTGAAAGTATCAAAATTGTTAAAATGTCCATACTAATCAAAGCAATCTACAGATTCAATGCAATTGCTATTAAAATTCTAAGGGCATTCTACACAGAAACATAAAAAAAATCCTAAAATTTATATGGAACTGCAAAAGACCCCAAATAACCAAAGCTATCTTGAGCAAAAAGAACAAAACTTGGAGGAATCACATTACCTGACTTCAGATAATACTACAGAACTATGGTAATCAAAAAAGTATGGTACTGGCATAAAACAGGCATATAGATTAATGGAACAGAATAGAGAACCCAGAAACACATCCATGTGTGTAAAGTGAACTCATTTTTGACAAAGGTGCTAAGAATATACAAGACATTAAATGGTTCTGGGAAATCTGGATATCCACAGGCAGAAGAATGATCTGCCATATTCAAAAATCAAATCAAAATGGATTAAAGACATAAATTTAAGACTTGAAACTATATGAAACTATTAAAAGGAAACATTGGGGAAACTTTTCAGAATATTAATCTGGGCTAGATTTTTTTGAGTAATACCCCAAAAGCACAGACAACCAAAGCAAAATGAAATCACAAGTTAAAAAGCTTCTGCCCAGCAAAATGGACAATCAACAAAGTGAGGAGACAACCCACAGACAGGAGAAAATAGATGCAAACTAAACATCTGAAAAGGGGTTAATAGATAGAATATATAAGGAGGTCAAACAAGGCAATAGGAAGACAAATTAATAATTAATTGAAAGATGGGCAAAAGGTGTGAATGACAGTTCTCAAAAGAAGGCACACAAATGACCAACAGGTATATGAAAAGATGCTCAGCATCATTGATAATCAGAGAAATACAAATCAAAACTGCAATGAAATATCATCTCACCTGGTGGTATGGTTTGGCTCTGTGTCCCCACCCAAATCTCATCTTGAATTGTACTCCCATAATTCCTACATGTTGTGAAAGGGACCTGGTGGGAGGTAATTGAATCATGGGGGCATTTCCCCCATACTGTTCTTGCAGTAGTAAATAAGTCTCATCAGATTCATAAGGGGTTTCTACTTTTGCTTCTCTCTTATTCTCTCTCTTGCTGTTGCCACGTAAGAAGTGCCTTTTGACTTTCTCCATAATTTTGAGGCCTCCCTAGCCATGTGGAATTGCAAGTCCATTAAATCTCTCTTCATTTTCAGTCTTGGTTATGTCTTTATCAGCAGTGTAAAAATGGACTAATATTCTCAATTAAAATGATTTATATCCAAAAGAAAGTTGATAACAAATGCTGGTGAGGATGGTTAGAAAGGGTAACCTTTGTCATTGTTTGTGAGAATGTAAGCTAGTACAACCACTGTAAAGAACAGTATGCAAGTTGCTCAAAACACTAAAAATAGAACTACCATATAATCCAGCAAATCTCTTTCTAGATATATATACCAAAGAGAGGAAATTGGTATATTAAAAAGTTATCTCCACTCCCATGTTTATTGAAGCATTATTCAAGTTTTGATTTGTATTGCTGATTATTCACAATAGCCAAGATTTGGTGTCTATCAAGGAATAAACGGATAAAGAAAATATGGTACGTATACACAGTGGAATACTATCCAGCCATAAAAAGAATGAGATCCCTTCATTTGCAATGACATGGATGGAACTGGAGGTCACTATGTTAAGTGAAATAAGCCAGGCACAGAAAGACACACTTCATCTCACTCATTTGTGGGAGATAAAAGTTAAAACAATTTAACTCATGGAAACAGAGGAGAACAATGGTTACTAGAAAATCAGAAAGATAGTGGGGGTGAGGAAGTGGGGGATGATTAATGGGAACAAATATACAGTTAGATAGAATGAAGATGATCAAGTATTTGATAAAAAAACAACAGACTGTAGTGACTATAGTCAACAATAATTTATTATAAATTTAAAAATAACTGAAAGAGTATAATTGGATGTTTGTAACACAAATAAATGAAAAATGCTTGAGGTGATGTATATCTCATTTGCCTTGATATAATTATTACACATCGTATCCTTGTATCAAAATAGCTTATGTTCCCTGTAAGTATATATAACTACTATGTACCCATAAAAATAAAAAGTAAAATTAAAAGAGATAATGAAACCATAAGCTTCAGACTGAGAGAAAATATGCTAAAGGACTCTTATTCAAAATATACAAAGAACTCAAAGCTTAACATCAAGAAAAAATCGAGCAATCCATTTAAAACATGAACTAAAGATCTTAACAGACACCTCACCAAAAAAGATATACAGATGGCAAATAACATGTGAAAAGATGCTCCAGATCATTTGTTGTCAAGGAATTGCAAATTAAAACAACAATTAGATACCATTATGTATTTATTAGAATTGCCAAAATTCAGAACACCAACACCAAATGCTGGCAAGGATGTAGATCAACATGAAGTCGTATTCATTGCAAATGGGAATGCAAAAACCTTGTATAGCCACTTTGGAAGACAGTTTGTCAGTTTCTTACAAAACGAAACATATTTTTACAATAAGGCCAAGCAGTCATGCTCCTTGATATTTACCCAATGGAGTTGAAAACTTACGTCTATGGAAAAACTTGCATGTGGATGTTTATAGTAGCTTTATTCATAATTGACAAAAATAGGAAGCAACCAAGATGACCTTATTTAGTGCTAAGA